GTGTCTTGTTCACTAGGATTCAAACAGTGATGATATGGGTTTAAAAAAAAAAAAAACTTTTATTTCTTCTAAGTTGTGAAATGGAAGTAACAAAGACTGGAAGTTCAACTATGACATTCCCACCACTAGCAAAGTAAGCCCAGAACAAATCTATGACTCTTTAGAATCATAATTTATGGACAATATTACCTTTATCCTTTCTGTATATTTAAAACAAAGAAAAATGGACTTTGTGTGAACAACAACCTGCTGTTTTGACACCATTCCTCACTTCAATGAACAAAATTTCAGCCTTTCTCCATGCTGGTTAATTTTAATGTATAATTGGGTTTACAATGGAAGTAAACTTATTTCTCCTCTTTTCATGTTACATTTTCACCTTAAATTTTATTCAGTAACATGCAAGTAAAGTTTTAACAGCAAGTAAAAAGTATAATTAGGGATTTAGAGGAGGACAAGCTGTGATATCTCACATGCACTAACACATACGGGAAACATTTATCCAGGGTGGGCCTCAGAATCCAGGAAAAACCTCCTCAAATCCCCTGGACCCTCCTTGACTCTGTAGACTAATGGATGTCAAAATCTGTCATTTCCAACCCTTACAACTACAGTTTCTGGTTATTTTTGCTTCCCATGCATATTCTCACAACTGAATTTTAGTCCTTAGTGTTACATTTTCCAGAATGCCACGGACAAGGCCATCCCTGGTGCCGTCACTCTGAGGGCCCCGGTGGAAGGGCAAGACGTAGCCTTCAAGGCTGACTTAGGGTCTCTGGGACATGAAGGAGGCCCTGAAGGAACGGCTGCAGATCTGCTCGCCCACTGACTGAACACGGTTCTCCATGGCAGTATGCTCTCCACATGCAACCAAACTTCAGGGCCACATGTAGATCAGCAGCAGAAATTCCTCTTAGATTCTGGCTATGCTGTAACCATGTTGGTTTGAGACTACTTTTCTGAGTCTTTACATTTATTTGTTTAAAATTATATATACATATAATTTTTTCCTATAGTCTCTGTGGCATTCCCCGCCCTCGCCAGCCCTCATGACTGTTTGTGTTTGCAAGTTCCCTCTCCCAGACTTTGCTGACTCAGACACCCTCCTTCTCTGCATCTCCGGGAGCATCAGCCAGACTCACCTGCACCCTGAGCAGTGGCTCCAGTGTTGGTAGCTATGGTATAGCCTTACACCAACAGAAGCCAAGGAGTCCACCCCAGTCTCTCCTGATATTTACATCAGACTCACTTAAGTACCAGGGACCAGGACTCTGGGGTCCCCAGC